TGTCAGATGAGCTAAAAACATTAATTTTCACAAGTCGTAAAAAATCGTAAGTTTTTCAGTTTGATCGTACATTCGTAGAAACATCATGGAATTCGTAAGGAATACGAAAAAATCGTAAGGGTTGGCAGGTCTGCACGTACATAATCACAGTGTAAGCCTATTACGATGATGTATGTGTGTAGTGAAGACCACAGAATATAACCAAACATTTGCGTGTGCCTATATCTAGATAACCTAGATCTTGTACTATAGTGTGACATCAGCAAATCATACTATTACATCGTTCTGGTGTATGGTGTCAGAAACGAAGTTAGTTGCAATAAATATTAGCAGAAACAAACTTTGCATGATAGAGAAGTTCCAAGACCAGAATATAGCACTTACCCTAGTTCTTCTATGAGTTCAACGAGTGAATAGTCTCCAGCAGATAATCCTGAAAGAACATGATAGGGTTGGTCAATTGTATTGCAACCAATCTTAAATCGCCAATGATAAACTGTGAGTCAAACATGGGCTTACATCATTAACGACCGATCAGGAGGACAGACACTGTTAACATCACCGACAGCTAAACATGAGTGGCTACTGTTACTCTGGAAGATCATGTGATGGTACCATCGCAGCAGCCAGGGCTAGTTATTCATTATGTCTCAACATGGATGTGACAACAAATGCTATGGTTGCCTTCTATCCTTACTTACGATACTTCAGTTACTTGCTATGGAGGCCCTCATATAATTAACCGATAATCCCCGATATACATGGCAAAAATTACCATGGTTGCTCTACCTGGTTTCCCTTCATTCCCCGCCATGAGGTAAGATAATAATTCCATAACTTCCATGTTATGTATGTATCCCTCATTCTACCACATGTGTAGGCTAAAACCACACAACAACCAGTGGCAGTGCACTTCCGGACCCCCACTGGTGGGCCCCATCACTGTGCCTGTGGCAGTATATGTGGATTGTAGCCTAGGCCGTATACTGTAGTCTGTAGTCAAAATTATGTTAAATGTCAATAACGTGATGTCAGATTGTGTTACTTGTAAGTTGTATTTTCTATTATTATGTATTACTATTACTAGTATTAGCCTAGTAGTACTAGTAGTAGTAGTAGGTAATAAAAACTTGCTCCATGTGTGACAGTGTGTATTTCGTCATTTGTACTTGCTGTTCTGTGTACAGTGTCACTGTCAGCAAAGGCCATTGGAGGCTCAAGTTTCATGAAGAGTATAAGAGCAAAGCGGGCCCACTTCGCTCTTATACCGTACTCTTTTTTGGAACTTGAGCCTCCAACTTCCAAGGGCCTGTGCTGTCATTAACTCAACTGTCACTGTCAACAAAGGCATATTACCATAATCCAGAGACATAAACGATTATTGTACACACATGTACTAACTCATTGTAAGTTTACAATACGTTTACCTGTTGTAATTGCATGTAGGCTATCATTTTCGTCGATGCCGTCTATAAATTTGGCACAATAGTCAGATAACTTCAAGTTACAAGTGGGCGCAGCCATGATTATTTACCGCGTGTCACAGATATTCTCTTTTACCGCGTATTTTATTCGTTCGTTCAGTGTTCTCACTTTGATAGGGGATTGTTCTGATCAGAGCATTGATTTACATAATATTAACATTCCTTAACTGTTTTCTAAATTTCTATCAAATGCATACATGTTTAATTACTTATAGTCATGGATATATACTATAATATGTTGTTATTAGTTGTTATTGTGATTATAAATTATTATTAATATTATTTCTTCCCTCATTATTATAATTATTATTTCTTCATTAATATTAGAATTCTCTTTCTTAGTTAATTTTCTACTATGCAGTGTTGATATTTCTATTTGATCAACTTTGTCTCTCTGCGTCTTCTTGTCTCTCTGCGTCTCGGTATGGGCTTACTACTAGGGTACTAGATATACTAGGTTATTTCTAAATTCGTAAAATAAATAAAAGCGCTCGGGTAAGCGCGCACGTACTAAGCGGGATCCGATTTTTAGATTGGATTTTCCTATGCGTATAGATCTCCCTCGAGAATACGCACCCTTGTCCATTTTGAGCGAGTAAGATCGACCGAAAATGCTCATCGCGGCCGGCTACGTCGACAAGCGACGCGAGTGCCATTGCCCCTGTACATATAAGCACAAGAGAAGGAGTGTGGCGGAATGCTGCGGCCAAAGTGAACATTTTATATTGGATGTTTCCATGCACATGCATCTCTCTCGGGCATACCCCTGCTCATGACTGATAACCAACTGTGTGTGTTAGAGAGATTCGTAGTAACGTATCGCCTCGATAAATATAACGTCCAGGATAGTGAACTTTAATCGCGTTTCCTCTAACTGTGCTGGTGTATTCCTTAAAACAATATACACGATGTATAATTTATTCTCAGGTGTATGTATACCTCTATGTGTACCCCGGCAATCCGGCCCGGTAGATGGTGGCGCGAGGTTTTGCGCTAAACAGCAACGCGGGGCTGTTCGCGCCCCTGAGAAACTGTAACGAGGGGGTACAGGGGGGGGGAGACGGGAGAGGAGGGGCGGGAGACGAGAGAAAATGGGGGCGGGGAGCGGAAGGGGTAGGAGTGGGAGTAGGGAGACCAATGGGTGGGAGGATTGAGAAAAAGAAAGAGAGCGAGAAAGAGAGCGAGCGCGCGAGAGAGAGAGAGAGATAGACAAAAAGAGAGAAAGAGAAAGAGAGTGCGAGAGAGAGAGAGAAAGAGAGAGAGAGAGAGAGAACGAGAGAGAGAAAGAGAGAGAGAGACAAAGAAAGAGAAAGAGAGAGCGAGAGCGAGAGAGAGAGAAAGAGAGAGAGAGTATACTAAGTAGAGAAAAATAAAAGAAATCCATAGCACGAGACATAAATACATGAGAAAATACATTGTACAGGATGAATACATTTATTACGTAAACTGTCAGAGAAACTAAGTGACATTCAAAAAATAAAAATGCAAAATATAAAGGATCCTGGAGGTGTTGAGGGAGGGAGATAAGAGAACAGGGGAGGGAGCTGGGAGTAGAGGGGGAGGAAGGTGGGAGGAGAGGGAGAGGGAGGCGGGAGGAAAGAGGGAGGGAGATGGGAGGAGAGGGGGAGGGAGGCGGAAGGAGAGGGGGAGGGAGGCAGGAGGAAGACAACCCCATGTATCCCCCTCAGCAACAAGGAGCTGTGAGCGAGAAGCAGGCAGTAAAGAGTTCCTTGAGCAGAAGAAGGTAGCAGTTATAATCTCTGAATACTAACGTTGCTAGTATGTGTGGAGATCAGTAAACAGTATATCCCCCCTCCCTCAATCAGCCTTATATCTTTTGTGCGCTTCGCACAATTGGTCGAGTTTCTAGCGCCAGTGATTGTGTGGTGATTCTGGGAGGTCGGGTCCGATCCGTACACGCACACGTACGCACACGCACATACGTGCACAAACACACACGTAATTAAAAGTTATAGTTGAATTCAAATCAAATCTATGCCACAATTGTAATTGAATAACTATCGTTTATTTTATTACGTTCTTACGTTGTTATTACGTTCTAATTATACATTTAAAACAAAAAGGGTATGAGCGTGAACCGTAGTATAACCACTATATTTAAAACCCATTATTAAATTATAGCTATCTTAAATTTATTTCGGAAAAACAGATTCGTCCAGTTTTTACTCACAAATTTTAAGTTTACAAATCGCAATCACAATTTTTTTAACTATTAACATGTTCTCTAACATGTTTTTACGTGTTATATCTTACTGCATGTACTGCTCCTGATGTATACCTAACAGAATTATCTCTCTAACGGCACCCATCAATTCTCGAGAGTGACAAATAATCGAGTTTGCTGCTTTTACAAAGTTTTGTACAGCGCGCGTACATTATATACGGCATTTATACTATACCACGGGCTTCGTTTTAGTGACCCAGCCCGAGCGCGTGACCTTTCGTGACCCCGTATGACAAAGCGACAGCGGTTAGCCAACCGCCATTATTGGGTTGAATCTATGGTTAAAATCATAGGTTGAAACAATAGGTGCGTTCACACTAGTATGTAGGAATGTAAGAAACCATGATTGTAGGAAACCACGCAGGTACACACGCACACGCGCACGCACGCACACGCAGAGAGAGAGAGAGGGAGAGAGAGAGAGTGACGGAGGGAGAGACAGATATGCATGATACATCACATATATATGAAGATAATATTCCATTTTTATATATATTTCCAGAATTAACACGAACGCAGCGCAAAATAACAAATATCGCTAATTGCACACTGTATAAACCGCATTTCAATAGTGAAGTAAAAAATTAAGCTTGTTTACCGTAGATATTTTTTCTCGGTGTATTATCTCACAGTGATCGTAAAGAGACATCCGGTTCTTACTGGGCGCACGCACATACGCACATACCCCGGCCTGGACGCAAATTTTTTTTCCCACTTGAGTTCCGGACCACAGCCAATCAGCGCACTCCATTCACTCGACTTCCTCGAAGCAACAATGAATACACCCTATACCTAACCCTAACCCTAACCCTAACACGTACCAGAACCCTAACACTAACAATAATCCAACCATATATATAGGAACCATTTGTTACAAAACACTATCTATGGTGGGTCCGGAACTCAAGTGGGAAAAAAAATTTCGCGGCCTGGACACAGGCGCACTCACGCACGCACGCACGCACACCTGCACTCGCATACGTGTGTGAAGTGTGTCCGTGTCGGTCCGTGCATGTGTGTGTGTATTAAATATGACCAAAGAAAAAATGTTATTTATTTGTTTTTATTCTAGATCCCGCTCCCACCGTACGGAGTGGGGGGGGGCATCACCGTTGGCTTGTGTAGAAGACAGGTACGGTATGACGACGATGATGATTGTAAAAGTGCAATAAATGGTTAACTATGGTACGGCTTCTGGTCATCTATACTAACGTCTACGTATACCGATACCACAACATACAACACACTCACTCGCACGCAGATGCATGCACACACACGCACACACACGCACATACATGCACACACACGCACACACACGCACATACATGCGCACACACGCACACACACGCACATACACGCGCACACACGCACACACATGCACATACATGCACACACGCGCGCGCGGGCGCACACACACGCACATACACGCGCACACACGCACATACATGCACATACACGCACACACACGCACACACACGCACACACACGCACACACACGC